GTGCGAAAAGAATTCAAATTACGCTAGTTTTCTTCGTAGTTACCTTGACGAATAAGACATTGACCAAGATATAAAACTAATAGTTTCTATAACATTTGTCTTTGGCTTAAGTGGAGCGATTAACTTTACAAACAGACCTATCAGGATGCCAGTGGAATAATTGATCTAGCCCTGAACAGTTGCCAGTTTCTATGAATATCATTTTTAAAGTCATGTCGTTTTAAAGTGAATATTGTTTTTAAAGTCATTTTATGGTATTTAACATTTTTATAAAACTGTATTAGAAAATCTAACATTTTTAAAAAAGGAAAACATTTTGATTTATTTATTTATTTTTAGTTTATGTTAGATTAATAAGTATAATTATACAAGTTGAGCTTCTTGTCTGTGCGCTATGCTAGCTAGAGCTCCGAGCGATTGCATTTATAATTATGAAAAATAAACGTTAAACTTCGCTATAACTTCTGAATCTTTTCTAGGTGCTTCTGTTATAAGATATAAAAACAAATAAACAGAAGAGAAAATTGGAGAATTATTGCAATTATTTTTAATTAGAGATCATATGTCTACTTATATGACAAAATTATTTATTAATACAAAAAGTGTTTAGTTTGCTGAATTCTCTTTCAACTAAATATTTAGCAAGCCTGTGCGAACATCACTTTTTTTTTCATTTCGAGTCAAATTCGAATAACAATAAATAAAACACAAAATTCAGGTCGTGGTATTACTAAAGTTTAAAACCTTTTCGCACTTTCTTGGAGATTTTAATTAGTAATTATACTGCATCGTATTATTTTTTTAATAAAAAAAAATTAATTTTAACGCTGCAATTTTGTTTTCATTAACACTTTTTCGAAAAAAGTTTAAAGCGCAAAAATGTACGTATTTTTCGACTACAGACACGAATTTATTATATACTTTTTAAAATTATTTGACTCGTGCTATGTCCATCTGTTTACGATCTGAAATAATGCCTCCAGTTTTCACATCATCATCATAACTTTTACAGTTGTTTTAAAAATATTTGTAGGCTTTCGTGAATTATTCTATAACATACAATAGAATGGGTTCGTAAGAAATTATATAAATTAAAAGAAAGATAAATTTCCGAAAAATGTTGAGAAAAGAATTCAACAACACCGCTAATCCACATACAAGAATTTCTACAAAGACTCCTCATAGAAAGAAATGATCAAAGTTGTATTATCGGTATGCACAGTTATTTTTTGTTCTGTGAGAATTCTGCACTTGCACATCATTAAGTAGAAGTAAGGTTGTTTTTGTATGGTTGATCTACTATGGCTCTCCTTTTGACGTTATGGGAGACCTTGCTGGATCCCACCTAGGTATGCTATATATCTATACTGAATATTTCATCCGAATGCAGGCTCAGGGGAAATAGTTCCGCATGAGTGTATGACAATTGCACTTCTACACGTTTTCGTATTCCCTAAAAGTTATTGTCATTCTGTACGAGTAAGAATACCCTAAAACCCCGCCAACGGATGATCATACAACCATACTTATTCTCACTCATGGCTGTCACGGCATTTTTTGGTGGTGCTAGTGAAATGTAAACAATATGGCTATGAATCGAGGATAACGCGTGTGGATATCTTTTAAACTTTATATTAAACAATGGTTCAATATTGCTCTGTCCCCCCAGTGCAAATATAAACCGCGAGATTATTATAATGAACAGAAAATTTTCTTTTATAAGTTTTCGGAAGAAACCAAATTAAGAAAATTAGATTTCGAAGTTAAAGATTAAAAAGAAAGTATAATAAGTCGATGATTTCTCATCAGTTGAATAAAGTTTCTCAGTTTAAGCTGCGACTTATTTGTTCTACATATATATATATATAACACATTGAAAATGATATTACAGTGTTTTAGTTTTATTTCTATTTTCGTTGTTTTTTTTAATAAATTTTAGTAATTCACAAACCTACTTGCAGCTTTTTATAAAGGAATGTTACTTTTATTCGAGCAAGCTTTTTAATTTTTTACAATCACAGGTAAGCATTAATATTATTGAAAGCAAAACATATGAAGCAGGTTTATTTAACTTTAATGACAGCAATTTCTTTATCAAAACTTAGAAAGACAAAAGTGATATTCCTGCAGAATTAAAATTATATTTAAGTTTGAGTTTCTTAGTAAGACAGTAAGGAGTTCGGTCGTGGGTTGGCGCCTTGGCAGGACGGGCTAGCCACGTGTAGTTTTCCGGGTTTCTCCATGTCTGTAATGCCTAAATAGTGATCAGTTAGCCTTAAAAGATCTCCCGGAAGGCATTATTACCCGCGTAACGACCATCATAAACGCATATAACTACTGCTACATGACAATTACATCACACACTACCACGGGGCGATATAGCCTAGAAGCTCATGCCCAACTAGCAACTAGAATAGCTAAATACTAAATAAAACTGATACAAGACAATAACGACAATTAGATATCCAAGTGCTAGCAGTGGAAGCATGCCGTAATGTATTTTTCACAAAGAAAAGCGAAGTAAAGATTAAAAGACGATAAAGTAGAAATAATCATTACATAATTAACATAATTAACATTATGTGATGATTATTTCTACTTTTAAATGATAAGAAAAACATCTTTTCAACAATTGTTTTAAACTTTCGATATTAGGCTACTATAGACATAAAGTATATTGACATTCTTGATCACTCTAAATTGCAGTTGAACTTCAGTCTCCGTTTTTTTTCTATAGCTGTATGATTCATTTCTGGGTTCCTTCGTTTGAAAGATGTTAATTTTGTTAGTTTTAAATTGTGCTTAACAAATAAGAAAATGAAAAACATGTGATTGAGTTGTTTTATACCTTTGTTGATTCATACTCATATAAAACTTTTCTTGCATATTTTTTATCTGTTACGAATGGATACATGAAATACTCATAGTTTTGTCATAATTGGACAAAAATAATAAAGTTTATGTAAAATTTATCACATATATAGTATGCACTATCTGATAGTCACAGTAAAATTTAATTGTTAAGTTACATGGTCGTAATCACTCTCATATTTCGGATTCATTGTAAGAGGACATAAAGATTTTAATTTGGTTTCCAACCTGTGATCTTCAGAACCTAGGATTGGTAGACAACGGATTTAGAAGCATTGGGAAGGATTCACAAACAGTTGAAATTGTATCGATAAATATTCACATTTTAATGGTTTAAAGTAGAGCCTCGATTATCCCACCCCCTATCAACCGACCCCTTGGTTAACCGACCGTCCTAGTTGGCAAATTTCAATGTCCGCTATTGATGTGGCGCTACAATATTTGGCTATGTCTTGGCTACTTTAATATTATTTTTACGTGTTTTATCTGGCAACACTGGATCGACCATGAAAGGGTGCCAGTATTTAAACGAGGCTTAACTTTCTAATTTTTAACGATACAATAGCGATGATTATTATTTTAAAAAATTTTTGTTAGGCATTTTTTGTTAACATCAATGAAAATTCAACGCAAAGTAGGTTAATAGCGATATACTAATATACTAATTACATGGGATATAATAATATACTACACTAATAATGGATTTTTTCATACTTTTCGGTTATCCGA